GGCGCCAGGAATTGTGACAAAAAGCAGAAAGGTCACAAAAAAAAAAAAAAAAAGAGCCATCACAGAATGCCCGGTAGGGGAAATGTTTCTTCTAAGAGAACCTGCGTCTCGCTCTCTGGAACAGCCGTAAATTTGCAGGGGAAACAAAGGTGGCATTTTGTGGTGCCGCGTGGGGGTGGGGATCCGGCGGTGCCGGGGGGATCCGAGTGTGGCTGCCGCGAGGGAGGACTGCGGGATCCCGCTCCAGCGCCGTCACAAAGCAGCGAGGGCTGAACTTCCCTCTCCGCAGCTCCTGCTGCCGCGTCTGCGGGCTCTAATGCTCCGGCTGCGATCGAGGTTTTAGATTCTTTCATGCAGTTTCACCTTGCCTTCCTTCCTTTTTTTTTTTTTTTTCTCTAATGTTTTATTTCTCTCCCCCTTATTGGCAAGTTAGCAGCAGTTTGCCGTCATGCTGGGACTGCCTAACTTGTCCTGTCTTCTGAGTTCAGATCACCCTAAAAACCCCCGGGATCTTCTTAGTGAAAGACCGTCCTCCTCAGAATCCAAAATGGGCTCTCTCTTCCCTCCCTGTCTTCTGCCATTATCCTCACGCACCAGCTCTTCCTCTAGCTCGTGGTATTGCCAGCACCGTGGCCTAAGGCCAAGGGAGTTAGACAAAGCAGTCCTTGCAGTTGCACATATCGCATTCGCAGCGATATGCCTGCAAATGGCCCCCTCCTCGCTGGAGCTTAAATCTGAGTTGAAGGAGGTCGCTTCTCTATTGTGTCTAAATTAAATGCCACTGGCCAAAAGGAGAAATCTGAGGTTTGCTTCCAAACCTGGGGTGAAGGAACCCCACCCCCACTCCCCCGTCCTGCAGAGGAGAGGAAAACAGGAAATCTGTCCCTTTTGGCCTGAGATCAGCCCTGCAGAAGCCTCTCCGTGTGAATGCAGAGTATTTTGGGTTGAGCTGACAGAAGGGCTCTGGCCAGCTGTGGATCCCGCAGGGATTTTCCTCTGGGAGATTATGCAGCTTCCCTGCGCTGCAGGGCTTCTGGTGCAGGAGAATTTGGGAAGGCAGTGGCAGCCCGGCTCCTCCTGAAGGAAATCCTGTCCTTGCTGCAGAGCAAACTCCCTGCAAGTTCAGGCTGAGAGTGGCCACTCTGCAAAGTCACATTTCATCTGCCCTCAGTGAGTGGCTTGGAGGGGTGAATCAGTTGGGGTTGGTGGGCGACAGCGCTCCGGACACGCTCCCATGCGAGAGCAGCACTCAAAAGACCTGGGCCAAAATCCTGGAAAAGGGGGGGATGCCTGGAGGGGAGGAAGTAAGTAATAGCCTCTGTGGGGCTGTCAGCAGATCTGAGGATGACTCTGGGTGAGGAAAATGCAGCTATTCCACAAGTGACTCAGGAGGCTGGAGGCGCCCGGTGCTGCTCCTCCGCCTCGCACCAGTCTGGAGGAAGGGGAACTCGTCGCAGCGGCGGCTGGTGCCTGCGCCCCTTCGCCCGTGCCCAGGTCAGTGGGGATTCTCAGCACAGGGACCTGCAGTGTTTTGTCCAGGGTCTCCCTAAGGAGACTGTAATTTGTCTTTTCCCACACTTTTTTTTTAGGCACATTCTGGCTCCGTTGTGGGTGTTCACTATTCCTATTTTGTTCAGAGCAGACCCAGGATCTGAGAGTAATAGTTGTGAGGTGTGGACAGCAGTGGAAACAGCTTGGGAGTTTTTACTTTGGTTTCATTCTGATTCCCACAGAAATGTCAGCTTTAAAGACAAAACACTGTTCCTGTAATAAAGTTTTTAGTCTTTTGTATATAGGATCTGGAGAAACAAATGTCAGCAGACCGTGACAAGGAGGGAGCTGCATCTTGGCTCCGCATTAGCAAGTGGTGATCTGTACAACAGCTGGGGACCAGTAGGACTCTCGGTGCACCTGCCACGTTTTGCAGAGACTAGGATTTTCATGGTGAAAAGAGCAGGTCCTTGCTGAGAGGTAAACTCAGAGAGTTTTGCTAACTGAGTCTGTAGCTTGTAACTGGAGAGACCAGTTTCCCTTTGGTCCTGGGAGATGATAGTCGGCACATGAGGATGCTCCCGGCCTTATTATGTTACCAACACAGTAGTGCAGGCTTGCATGTGCAAATGGCTTCCTTGTTGCCCTCTCTCGAGACAGCATTTTTGGTATTGTCCTTTCTGAGGGGTTCTCTTTTTGGAGTGGGAGCAGTGTTGAGAATACTGTTTCAATGCCACACACAGAGCAAGGTGTTTCTGTACGTTAGCAGGGTGGATGACTTCCAGGCAGTACAGCTCATGCTTCCCCCCTTTTCCAGTCAGCGTAAACTGAGATTTTACCTTATGGATTCTTCTTCTTATCCTCTCATGCCAAATAGTGTGGTTTTCTGATCCATTTCAGTTGTGCCAAGTAAGTTAGAATATAGAAATAGCTTGTGTCATAAGCAGGAAGAGAAGAATGGTGAGGAATCCAGTAACTGTCTTTTTTTTTTTTTTGATTAATAAAAAGGTGGAGGAGGGGGGAAGAGGAGACATAAAACATGACTGTTATCCACATGGAAGGTTTAAATGGAAGAACACTTCTAGAGGAAAGGTCCAGAGTACTACAGATCAAAAGAGTAAGGCCCCTGGCTGTTATGGTAAAGAATGCCCTAGTTCTTGAGAAAGTATCTGTGTGTGCACGCACTAGGTTTTCTTTTTCTTCTTCTTCCTTTTTTTTTTTTTTTCTTTTGGAGAGGAAATAGTTTTATTCAAAGAAAGGTCTGTTTCTACCGTAAGGGCTGTTTGGGGGCAGGGGGGGGAAATAAAGTTGGGTGAAAGTTTGACTTTCACAGCCAGTGCTAAAAGGAATGTTTTGTGCAAAACGAGAGCTGGGTGTATTATTTTAAATGGAAGTTTATGGGAGGGTTGGGGAGAATTGGGGCTGCTGGTGTGTGAGCTCTGGGTTGGCAGCTCCTGAGCAGCTCAGCATGTTGCTTGGTGGTGTGGATCAGCTTGTGTAGACATGCATGGAGTGTCCCATGGATTGTGGGGAGTTCTTGCTGAAATTAAGCCAAAGTGTGTAGAGGACTAAGGAATCAAGTATTCTCCTAGTGAGCCAGAGTAGTACACCTATGATTCAGGCTGTGTTCAAATACCACAAATGGCTGTGCCAGTCTGGGATGTTTGTTACCTCCTTCTTTGCTGGGGGATATTCGCCCCATAACACAGCTGGCAGAGCAGCTTATATGAATGTTTCTCATATGTCTCATTACAAAGTTGCCCAGTTTAGGACAGAAGAAATTACATTCTCCCACTTAAAATATTCCAGCCTGGTTGTCTCCTACTCCTGGATCCTCCCAGGAATCAAATGGCAATTGTCTGAAGCAGCTGAGGAATGTGTTCAAGTTGGATGGCAGAGGCAGCAACCTCCTCTATATAAAGAGCTGATGAGTGCTACCCAGCAAAATGGGAACAGCTTTCCCATTGCAAGCAGCTTCAGCTTGAAGTGAGTGCAAAATTCCATGGACTATGCTGTGTACCTTGGAGAAGATCCTGGCTGCAGGGACCTTGCCTTATGTAAGGTCATGTTCATGTATACAAAGGGTTGGTAAAATGGCAGGAATTTACGTACCCAAGTTTTACAGCATCTTACCAAGTACAGAATAGTAGAGAAACACATATCCAGTGGGGTTGTTTCTTTACTCACCTAAGTCACTTCTGCATATATACCTCAGTGAGCTTAGTAACCATTACTGATATAATTTTGCTGCTCGTGAGAGTAAAATGGGGTGAAAATTGAGCTGCATGGATCTTATGACATCCACCCAAAGCAAATCCAGTAGGAATCCCGCAGTGTTCCTGCTCCCACCACTTCCTTGTGGGGTGCACAGGACTCTAGTGAGCTGCCTTTTCATTTTTTTTTTTTCCAGCAGGCAACGGCAACAGATTTAGGAATTAAAACTCAGACCAGCAAATTGATATCGCTGCTCAGGCTTCGAGACAGTAGAGGAGGTTTGTACTGATCCATTCAGCTCCTATCAGAAATTAATGGGGAGATTTGTGGTCAGTGGGAGTTTAGGGATATAAAGCTGGATTTTTAGTTCCTTTGTCTGCCAGGGTCTTAATTGGGGCTCAGGGAGACCACTGGAAGGAGGAGGTTTTGATGCAAAAATCTCATTTATTTTTGTTGCATTGCTAGATCCCCATGATTAATAAAGCATAATATTATTTAAAAATCACTTCATTTCTGTGGGGAAAAATGCTTTTGAGAGTCTGCTTGAATACAGAAATAACGATATTGTTGGCACAGGAATAAATGGTTAATAAAAGGCTTTGTATACATTTAATTGGGAAAGTAGAGGGAGGAAAGTGTGTGTATTAATTCAGGTTTTAAATAACAGCAAGCACTAAGACAATTTAGGATGTAATACAGAGTCTCACTGAAGTTAACTACCAAACACACTCCTTTTTCGGTTCTGTTGATTCTTAACTGTCTTGTCTCCATTGTTATTTTAGCATGAGAAAGCAAGTCTCCGTTCAGATCTCTCTCCTGCCTTTTTTTTTCTTTCTACTGAATACCTAGTCATCAAACTGATTTTCTGACTGGGTCTCGACTGTGAGACTTGGTGGCCTAATTTTTCTTAGAAACTGTAATAGTAGCAGCTGGTGTTCTTTCTTTCTTTTTTTTTCTTTTTTCCTTCCTCCACCTCCCCTCTCTCTGCTTTCTCTTATATCCAAAATACACAGGATGCTCAGACACGCAGATGTAATTTTGGGTTAATTGAGTAATAGTCATCCAAGACCCGTGGACTCTCCCAGAGATAAATGCACAAAGTGACAGGTCAAAAAGCTCAAGGTCCATTACCCTCTGAGATACTAATATCCCTGCGATTAATTTCATTTTCATGATTGCATCATCTTAAATTGAGGTGAAATCAAGGATTTCTCTTTTTTTTTTTTTCCCCCTCCCTCCAGCTGAGTTTGACTGGCACAACTTCTGACCCGGGTGCGTGGAGGCTGGTGCCACGGCCAAGTCAAATCCTTTTCTTTGTTCTCCGGGCCTGCTGCTGCTGATAAAGTGGTCGGCGCATGGCATTATGTCTTATTACATTTTTGATGCAGACTGCAAAGAAACGGGTAAACTCACCATGGTTACCACGATCTGTCATTTGGCAGGGCATTCCGTACTCAGCAATGGCCTCTAGTGTCTGCATCACAGCTCTGCATATATTGTGGGTAAAGTAGACAATGCAGCACCCCTGGCCGCTGAAGCGACAAGGCTATTGATCTCATTGCTAATTTAAATCAGCATCAGAGCAAAAACTGCAGCAGCAGGCCCTCCTGGATAGGTGTCTGCTGAAAGTTCTTCTTGTTTGTTTGTGTAATTCGGTGTTAATTCGATCACTGCTGGGATCCAGCGCCCATGCTGAGACCGACTCGTGTCCACTGCAGTGGGACTGGCTCTCCTGTCTGTGAAACTTTCCTGGCCAGCCACTAGCTTCGCTGCTTTGTCTTGCCACACATCACGTGCCTGGAAGTTTTTGTTCTTATCTAGACATTCCTTGGCTTATCTTCCTACAAGAATGTGTCGTTGTTTAAATCTGCATAATCTGCAGCAATCAATAGAGTATCTGTTCTGTATTATCATTAAATGATAAAGTGGTGGCGATTGATCTTTTTTTTTTTTCCTATTTAGCATGGGCTGCAGCTCAGGTTTGTCAGTGAGTAGAGCAGGAATCTTGTCCAAGTCCTTGCCTTGATGCTGGAACGCTTGGGAGCTCCCAGGTCTTGTATGTACGTATGGGTACTGCCTGCAGTAACTGTTTAGGAACAAGTCTTTACAGGACGGGTCTTTTGTTTTAATATACACGAGGAAAAGTTGCTCAAGTCTTCTTTTGTTTAATTGAGGTAATTAAACCTTCCTACCTTGCAGTGCAAGGGACTCATTAGTGTTTTTAAAGCATTTTGAATTCCTTGGAGGAAGATGCAGTTCGCTGTTGTGTCATGTTTGATAACTGTTGAAATTCAGTCGTCTAGACCGGAAATATTGATTGAGCTGTACATACAGCAATCTTGCTGTTGTTCACATATTTAGAGCTGATAATGAACTAATTGAATGTTCATAATGTAATGAACTAATTGAAAATATAGCTGACAACTCCGTTGTTCCTTTACAGCATATAAACTGTGCTCTGTGGGTGTTTTCTATGCTTTTTTGTTTGGTTTTGTTTTTTGTTTTTACTATACTTTAGCAAAGTGTGATAATTAACTCCGTGTGAAACCTGAGTAATGGAAATGCATCTTGTAGTAGCGTAAAATGTAGCAGGTTAATTAAAGATGAAGGAGAAACTCTGCTTTTTTAGGCGGCTTACTGATCATCCCATGTAACCACCACTAAGTTTTCACCAGTGAAATAGTTAGAATTAAAAACATGCTGTCTTCTGCAGTGAAGATGACACCATGATGATATACCCTGTGATTAATCCTAAAGTGGAAAGAAATTTCCCAACTGAGGAGCCTGGGGAGTTGCTGTCCCGCTGTGTTTAGCAGTGCTTTTATGGTGTAACTGCTGGCTTTTTGTTTCTCTCTTTTTGTCATGATGGAAAATCTGAATGAAATCACATGCAACTTTAAAACAAAACAATGATTTACAGAGTTTTGAGAGCCGGTGACTTTTAGCATCAGTTTAATTTAAATTTGAAGTCTGGTAAAATCTGTTTTGCGTGTGGGAAGACAGTGGGGAATTTCAGCAAAGGAGATTGTAAGGGAAAGGGTTTTTCAGACAGCAGCCAGGCTGTGTCTGCTGCCTTCAGGCAAAGGCAGCAGCAGCAGCAGTGGATGCAGGGGCACTGCAACTGCAAGAGGGGAACAGAGCTGCTAAGTTGAGTGGTGTAATGATCCCTAAGCCCTGAGTGTGCAATCCATAACCAGCAGGTCTTGCAACACTGTTGAAAAGTGGGCAGCATAATCAGACCCTCTCCGAAAAAACAAAAGGCTGTTTTGAAGTTTCCCAGCCCCAATTTTCTATGTTGAAAAACTGTGTGTTTGTGGGGAGGGGGAAGTATTTTTGAATCCTCGATTTCTGAGCCGTTTTTTAGGAGATCATAGTATAGTCTGTTTGTACAACTTTTAGTTGACTTGAAACCCCGTTGATCTGAATATAATGCAGGTATGAACTTTTATAATGTTAGAATATGCAACCTTAATCAAAAGTGATGCTGTTTTTCTTTTAGCTTAATAGTGCAGTGCAGTCTGTCTAGCTAAACATGTTTGACATCACACAAAGAGGAATAAATGGTAACAACTCTTCCACTCTGAAGTTCCACAGTGAGCAGCAGATCTGATATACCTCATCTGACTGTCCCCTATGAATAGTTTTGGTATCAGCTGGAAATGGTGGTGAGGGTGACTTGCATTGACCGTGTGATGACACTTTAAGTTGCAAAATTGCTTTCAGATAACTTGCACTGAAAAGGTAAAAATAGCACAGCACATTAGACTCATCTATGTGGAATGTATATATGCAAAAATAGGGCTCCTTAATATTTACAGTTTGTCTAGGCAGAACAACCTGTCATGTTACTCTGTTTCACTTTCAGGCAAACAATTTGCACTGATAATGTTGCAGGCTGTGCTATTTTCAAATGTACAGCAAATGTGAGAGAAGTGTTAATTTAACTGTTCTCTTCCTAGCAAACAGTGTGACTCTGAAATGGTGCTAGTGTGCTCTGAAAGAGGTGAGAGGTTATGGCTTTAGAAAAGAGAAGAGCTCTCCAGCATGTGTCCCAGAGTAACAGCTGACCCATCTGTAGATAATAACAGTTTTTTTTTCCCTTTTCTATCTACAGCTGGGAGTGTCCATTCCCCCTCCACAAGTATGGCAACATCTGCACAGTACAGACAGCTTCTAAATGACTATGGACCCCCTTCCCTAGGCTATACGCAAGGGATGCAGGTAGAGTCGGGCTCGCTAGCTGTTTTTCTTCAATCAGGTCACTGGTTTGCATAGTGCTGTGAATTGTGGCCTGTAATCTGAGGTGTTCCCCCCTCCCACCTAGCTTTGAAATCAAACCCAAATGGCAGACTGATTCATCGCACATGTCTTGGGATCGAATTAGGCTAAGCAGAGTGCTGAGTGAGATTAGTTACTAATTAACTGTTAGTCCCTTCCCTTCTGACTAATAGTGAACCATGTCTTCACTTACGTTTTGTGAATAAGGGTTGTATCATGTTTAAAATTATTTGATTTAAAAGTAATATCCCTACATCTTTAACTGTTTTCCTAGGGTAAATGTATTCTTTAAATGTACAGCCTCATGAAACGTGTTACAGAGATTCCTATGGACTGCTTTCAGGAATCCAACTGGTAAACTTTCTGTGAAACGTTTTGAACATTTTAACAGGATTCCCATGTCATATGGGCAGCTTTCTTGTATCTGCTTCTCACTCTCTCCGCCTAACTCCTCCACAAAATATGCATCCAAAAATTACAGAATCACAGAACAGTTGAGGTTGGAAGGGACCTTTGGAAATCATCTTGTCCAACCCGCCCCCTGCTCAAGCAGGGTCACCCCCAGGACTGTGTCCAGACGGCTTTTGAGTTTTTCCAAGGATGGAGATTCCACAGCCTCTCTGGACAACATGTTCTAGTGCTCAGTTACCCACACAGGAAAAACTTTTTCCTTATGTTCAGATGGAACTTCCCGTGTTTCAGTTTGTGCCCACTGCACATTGATAAAAGCAGAAGGAGAGATAAATAAGCTGTTTTCACATTGCTGTTTTTGCAGGGCTGATTTAACTTTTGTTGCACATAAGTCCCAGTCCTGCAGCCACATCCTCCCAGTTAATCCCTATTTTCCAAGGGTGCATAGCATCATGTCCAATTGTAGGAGAAAATGCAAAAAAAAAATTGTGTTTATATAACAGAAATGAAATTTGATTTTTTTAATAAAGTGTCTTCCATGGCAGTTTCCGGTATTTCATGAATTTCAGATTGCTGTTTAATTCTTTTTTTGTTGTTTTTAGCAGTATTTAATTGAAGTGATTCTACTTCCTACTACAGGGCACCAGCAGCAGTCAAGTACCACAGAGCAAATATGCAGAACTTCTAGCTATCATAGAAGAATTAGGAAAAGAGATTAGACCCACGTATGCTGGGAGTAAAAGTGCGATGGAGAGGCTAAAACGAGGTAATGTTTAAAATAGTTTTTTTAAAAGTGTCTGTACTTTTTTTTTTGCATAAACTGCTTAAATACTGTTCCATGACAACTGCTACCTTTGAAAGGCAAATGCTGTCTTGAGCTGCCTATTAAGCTAGGTGTATTAACAAGCAACTGAATCTTTGGGAGTACTGCATCCATGCAGTGTTGATACATAAACCAGTGAATGAATGTATTTCATGTGAACAAAGAGAGTTTCCGTTAATAATTCAAACCTTATTTGGATCCCTTAAGGTGTTGGTTGGACACATTCTGTCAGAGTCCTGGAGACTGACTCACCCCTTCAGTTCCCTTTTCTGCTTAGATTCTAAAATATCCAGTCAAGCATTGTTTACCTCGCCTCATAAACATCCCCTTTCTACTTGACCCAAGAGTCTCTGCTGAAGTGTATTTTGCTTAAAGAAATTCTATGTTGTACTAAATCACAGAGGCCAGTGGTGAGAGGAGCTGGAATAAAAAGGAGAGACGTAGTTAGTGAAAGCTGCACAGAGACTTGAAGCACACACATTCCTCCTCTCTCTGGAGCATCTGGCTGCTTACCTGTTATCAAGTGCACATCCTTAGGAGTCCCCTTGTCGGGGTCTAACAGTCTCCTAGGTCGAGCTGAGGCGGCTTTTCAGCTTTGCTTAGTTGGCTAAGAAGGGTCACGTAATTGCCCTTTCCTTGCAGTGTAAAAGAAACCCCTGCATGCCCTACCACTGACATCAGTCTGACATTGTCCTCCGCAGGGGCCATGTGAGGGTTATTTCTGAAGGAGCAGTGGGACATTCCACCGCTCTAGCTCCAGAAATGACCGTGAAAGGCCACTGCCAACAGTTGTGCTGGCTGTCCTGTCCTCAGCCGGCATGACATAGTTACCTTTTCCTCCCTTTGCTTGGTCCTTGTCCCACATTTGGCTCGTGCATTCAGTCTTGAATGGGAATCTTACTGTAACAGACTAACTTCACCGCCTGGCAAATCCCCTTTACATTTACCCAAGACTTCAGAGTTGTGTTTAAGGCTCAGCCATTATGGGAGAGTAATATATCTGCCATGACATGCAATAAAATGACTAGTAGCTGTTCTGGGAAAAGGATGCAATAAAGTCTGCTGATGAGTGGTAAGTGGAATCTGGCCCAGCTAAAATCAATGTTACTGGAGTCTCTCTTTATTGCATTGCCTGAGTCAGTATTAATAGATCATGAATGGCAATAGGCTAATGGGGACAACTTGAGAGACACTGGGAGAGAGGCAGACATTCCCTCTGAACAGGTCAGTTGGGTGAGGGAAAGTTGTCTTGCTATTTCCTGCAGTATTGAGGTTGTTTGCTAACATAGGTTTAAGATTCAATACTGTGACTGGCATGCCAGTGTTGCAAGAAAATCAAAAATAAATACCTTTTGCTGCCATCTTTTGGTCACAGACATATCCTTCTATCCATTTTGGGAGCCTTATGGCTGAAAGAGCTTATGCAGGTGCGAGCTAAGGACTGAATGAGGGTACCCACATGTCTGCAGCCTCCGTGGCCGTGTGGAGGTTCTTCCTGAATAAGGTCTTTGTCCCCAGCTCCACCTGCTCCTCAGGACAGAGGCTACTGACCTCTAAAACTGGCCAAATTCCCAGTGTTCTACATAATTCACAGTAGCTCTGCTGCATAAACTGGGCGTCCTGCCACCATATCCTGGTCTAATGGTGCTGCTTCGAGTATGCAGCTCTGCATCCCGTCGCTGCAGGCTTTGCCTGCTACGTGTCAGTTTAACCTCTGCAAAGCCTTGGACACAGATCCCAGGTCACTGTTCCTTGGGTGTGAAGGCTGCTGTTGAGATTTGGGCAGGCAGCCTTCGAGAGACAGAGTCTGTTGTCTCTAAATAGAGATTAACGTTGCTCCGTTGCCTTACTGTGATTTCCCCACCTTGTTAAGGAGCATGATGGACCAGAGAAATCATTTGAGTCTCTATCTGGTCCTGTCAATAGAATATAGGCTTGTTTGTCACCGGAAAATCTGCCCAGAATGTCTCATATTTTAAGATTTTACTTAAGGACTTGTTCTTCTAGTAGCTCTGAGCATATGAATAGAGTTTCCATTCCAGGATTAAGAATCAAGGTACAGATTGTTGGACCTCTGTGCAACAGGACTCTTAGTGGAAAATTCCAGCTTACATCTATCAAATAAGAACAGATATGGCAGCATGTAAAGTGGTGATCAATGACACTGGGAGCTGATCCAGTGTCGGGAGGTAACTTTTTTGCACGCACCGCTAAAAACTTCCTCCTGTTCTTACAAAAGGCAGAACCTGGGCTGAGGCAGTATTACAAAAACTCAGATTTTGATGCATCCTCTCAGAGGAGAATTTCTCCAAGGTATTAATTTAGGCTTTTAGAACGTGCGAAAATGACTCCCCAAATTACTTCACGTCTTCTCTCACCTCACTGTAGCAAAGTAACTGACAGGCAGGCAACATGATTTTTTTTCCTCTCTAGTTAAACGCCCTGCTTTTAAATAGACCTGCACTCCTAATTAAGGTGTACCTGTCACTGCAGATATACAAATTTTATAATGCTCTGATTCCTGCTTTAGTCCCTTCTCAATTTATAATGACAGTCTGGAAAAGCAAACTTCTAGCTTAGGTTAATGTTTGCAAGGGATACAGAGGAGGGAAAAAGTCTCCATTTTCCTGAGGTATACTGGGATAGCTTTGGTACCTCAGAACAGAAATAAACAAACCTTTTTGTGGATTGTCACTGCAAGAGTCACCTGAAAGAGATGACTGACAAAATGTCTATTCTTTTGCAGGCATTATTCATGCTAGAGGATTAGTTCGGGAATGCTTGGCTGAGACTGAACGAAATGCAAGATCCTAGCCCACTAATTCACTTGCAAGATTTCCAAGATCTCTTAATGAAGAAAAAGTAATACTTATTCCTTTGACTCTTGAAACATTCAGATGAATTCCTTTATTTTGAATGTTTTACCTTTCTTTTGCCCTTACAAATGTGTATAGTTAAGAATGAAAAAACAAGGATTTTTCAACTTACTGAGCGTTTGCATTTTGTAAAGACATTAAAACGCCCCAAAATATTTCTAAAACATGAAAACTGAATTGCATGCAGAGGAATGCTCTCTCTCTCTTCCAGGCTTTATTTCAGTTCTCTTCCTATCCAGCCACAATCTCATTCTGTTTTTCTTTTGACTATATTCACTTTTCACTTAACCCCAACTGTCAATCTTTGACATAAACTCTAAGGATTTTTTTAAATAAATGCAGAATAGCATGCGGTACCTAGTAGTCTGCTATGTCACAATTTATCATGCAGCATAGACCCTGCTTAGCAATAACCTTCCCTTCCTCTTCTCCTTTTTTTGTTTTGCATAAACATTTGCATGACTGTTAGTGCTTTGAAGTCCATTTAAAGTGCATGAGTTACATGGAAAATAAGGAAACCTATTGAATAATAACAAGATCCCAGAAAGCTAATTTCTACATTATGGCTGGAGATTTCAGTTTTAAGTTTGCCAAAAAGAAAGAAAATTCTGGATAAATTACTAAAACTGTTATTTGCATCTTTGTATGTATTTATTACTTGATGTAATAAAGCTTATTTTCATTAACAGTTTGTATTAAAACTATGTACAGTCACTTTAATCAAATTCATACTGTGTGTGCAAGAGAACTCTCAATAGATAAAGGTTTAACCTTCACGCAGGAGGCTCAAGTTCAAGAGGAGCCCAGAGGATGGGACTGCAGAGTGCTGGAGACTTTCCATCCATGGCACAGTCCTGATGCAGTCATCTCTGCAGGAAGGAGGTACAGCTGCTAGGTAGTCTCCATTGCTTTTAAAATACACACTACAGCTCTGGTTGTGAAAGCTCTCCCCTTCCTTGTTGAAGGTCAGAATTCAACGGCAGCCTGTGATGTTCCTGTCTAGAAATTAAAGACAAACTTCCCATTTGGCAACTGGATTTCTTAGTTTCGAGTCAGTATGCTTTTCCTTTTTAGTACTACTAACAGCAATAAAAGTGTCTGATAACCTAGGATACCTGTTACATATGGAAGTACAGATACTTGAAGATAATATTTTTTCCTCTTAATATTTTATTTCCATCATAGTTTGAATAGGATTCTGTTGCATTGTCAGGTATCTTTCAACGTGTTTTTCTAGATTTTTTTTTAATCTGTAATGATCTAACTCTACATTTGAGCTGGAAGAAAATACCTGGCAACTGTCACCTGCAGGAACAACACTCCCCCTTCCCCCATGTTCTCAACTGCTCTAGGTAGTTCTCACTGAAGTTTAAGCCGTAGCTTTCAGAGCTGGAGTGGAACAAGAATATCCTGGCAATTCAGCTGCCAGATCTGAAGGGGGCAGCCAGTGATTGGAACTGGTTACACCTCCTCTACCAGTACCACAAAGCAGCCTTCTTTGTGTCTCATCTAAACCACATCACTGTTCATGCAGAATTCTGATATCAGAGGAGGCAGTGGTGGAGTTCTAACTTTTTGGTGGTGTTCTTGTGTATCGAAACACCCAAAGGGTTGAGTTTTCTTTTTGTCTCCGTTAACAGTATTGGAAAGTTCAAATCCAATCATTTTGAAAAGGGATGATAAACTTGGCAGAAAAACTGATTGCTGAACATGAGCAATGAGATGATGGCAGGCAGAAAAAGAAATACATATCTGCTTTTAATACTTCCGTTTTACAGTAATAGCAGGTCACTACTCAATACTTTTAGTTGTGTTTATGAAGCCCTACCACATCTGACAGTTAGGAAACTACATTTTGAGGTAGTCATATACTGTTTTCCTTACCCATTTATGTCAGGTCAGTATTTAAAATGTTTATTTCCCATCTAGTTGTTGCATCTCTTTAAAATGCCTTTTTCTTTCTAGGTTTTCCCTTGCTCTTCTTTTCTTCTCTTGCTTCTTCCTCTCTGCTGCTTTCTTCTCTTTAAAAACATCACTATTTTCACCTTTATAGAAGAGGTCAACCTTTTCCTGCAGGATTTCTCGGGCTATCTTTCGATTCTGCTCCACTGATCTTGTTTGATGACACTGGGGAAAAAACACAGTAGAACATTTGTATTGTGACCTGAACCCATTTATTCTTCTGTTTTCCCCTTTACTCTATATATTTCACCTGAACAAGGATTGTAAGACCAGATGCTAATTAGAAATGATGTATTCTGGACAGGCTGCCTAATAATCAATTGTTACTGCAATTTGGCAAGCTGGCTTTCACATGAATCTTTAATTCTGTCAGCAAACACAATTGTTTCTATGTTACCTCAGAAAGTTGCTTCTGAGCTTAACTGTGTCTTCCCCTTATTGTAAGAAGGGAATAAGAAGGGAAGGAGGTAAAGATTAATTTCAAAAGTAAGTTTTAGTGCATGGTACAAGGGAAGAGTTATATTTAAGAAGAATATGAAAAATGACTGTGATCACCTTGTTAAGTGAAGACCTTTTAAGACTTCTTATCACTGAGAGGGTAAGAGGATACAAAGAAAACTACAGAGCAGCAGCATTTGCCAAAGCCTAACCCCAAGATCTGCTTAGCCCCAAATTTATTAAAGTAATATTAACCAATCCTGTTCCTTTCTGAGGTTCTTTGTAGTGCATATCAATATACTCGTCCTCCCTGACTCTTGCACTGAGAATATTAACTTTAAAAGGTAGTTTGGCAGACTTAATGTACTTTACAACTTGATGAAATAAAATAGAATTACCTTAATGACAATCCCTGTTGGAATATGCTTCAAGACAACACAGTTGCTTGTCTTATTAGTGGCCTGACCTCCTGGGCCATCACCTCTTACAAACTGTTCTTTTAGTTCTGCCTCATTTAGTGCAAGGAGATTGGAAGAGTTCTTCTTTCCTGCTGCCTGGAACAGGGGCAGCCTGGTCAGGGAAAATTGCTGTTTCCTCAGCATCCATGGTCTCCAAAATGCTGCACTTGCTTCTTTCAGTAAGAATGTAAAATGAAATAAACTTGAAGCATTCATACAGAAGTGAGGATACAGCTTCCTCTGGAAAACTGAAATGGAGGAATAGAATATATCATCAAAATCCCTGTTTTAAGATGATCTATTTTAGCCCAACCTTGTATGATACTTCAATATTCAGATTATTCTCAGAGGTATGAGAACTGGTTTCATAGACCTTTGCCTTGAAATATTTACCAGTCCAAATGGAGTTTCATTTCTGATGTTGATCCTATCCGAAATTTTGACCATGCTTCTCCACTCCTGTAACTTTATTGCAGTAAGAAAGCAGCACTCAAGTTGTTTCCAACTGCTGCTTCATAGGGTGACTTTTTTTTAAGGTCAAGTTTTTAATGGTATCCTGAGCAAGGCAACATGCATTGCGCTTTAGCACTTCATGGCTAAAAGCAATGTCAGGTTTTAGTCCTGTGAAATAGCACTTTTTAAATAAGTCAGGTAAAGTAAATTAGGTAAACAACACAATGGATGCTTCTGGGAAGTATTTTGTGTTATTTCAGAAGAAAATACTGAAGCGTGTGAGCAAGTGGCACACAGCTACAAACTGCCATACAGGTTAATTCTAAGTGATGAAATCAACGTGATTTTAAGACAGCTTTCATTTAAAGTCACGACAGCCGCTTGGTGGCAATAGAAGAGAACAAAAATGCTTAAAATAAATAAACGTCGGGAGAGGTGGGAGGACGTGGGTGGAGGC